TGCCCTTCTCCACGTCCCCCGTCCCCCGTCCGTGCCCTTCTCCACGTCCCCCGTCCCCTGCCCGTGCCCCTCTCCACATCCCCCATCCCATTTCCGTGCCCTTCTCCATGTCTCATGTCTGTGTCTGCCCCCTCTTCCTGTCCTCGGAGCCCCCTCACGGATTGTGGCTGTGTCCTTTTGGTGTCATCAGCGTCAGCCCAGGCCCCACAGTGTTCAGTGGACACCTGTAAGGATGAGCACAGGGCCACAGAGCACTGTCTGCGGTGCTTCTGGGGGACAAATGGCAAGAGGGAGGGCAGAAGGTGCAGGTGGGGAGGGTGTAGGAGTGCACAGAGCCAGACACTGGCCTGCCCTGGGCCCCTGCCCATGGTGGCTGCCTGGCAGTGGTAGTGATGAGTGCTGGCCTGTCGAGACTGTGGTTGGCTTTCTGTAGGCACCTCCCATGCCTCTGGCCCGTGCCAGTCGTGAGCAAGTGTAGAATGGTGTCAGAGCCTCATGGTGGTCACTTACTTAAACACACTGTGCTTGGATCTGTCTGGCCTGTGCCCACCTGCCCTGGGTGCCAGCCCCCAGCTGGCATCCCCCAGTTCCCTGTGAGAAAACCTACAGTGTCCTGCAACAGTGATGGTGCTGAGGGACTCTGGGGAAAGGTCATCGCTAAATGTACCCGAGCTGTCCCAGCAGTGGTTTCATATTTGGGGAAGAAAGTTGGAGATGAGGGTGGGTGGCGCTCCCCAGAGCCTGGGAAGTGGCCTCTGTTTCATGTCCTGCTCCTGCTTGTACATCGCAGACATGTCCTGCTGTCTCCTGCCTGTGCAGCCAGAAACCCTTTGCTGTGTCCGCATCACAGATTGGGATGGTAGAGCCAGCACCTTTCCCCAGTCACTCTGAGGCCCTCCCTCACCCCCAGGTGGATGGCGCTCATGAGACACAGCTGGCCATTTGTTGCAAAGCTGTTCCGAGAATGCCCTTGACACCTGGCAGCGGAACCTGCTGACAGGAGCTCCTCAGGGAGCGTCTCATGGAGAGGTCTCGCCAGCGAGTGTGAGGAGTGTGTCCAGAGCTCACTCACCACGGGCCACATGGGCTGGGGCTGCCTGTCCACAGAAGAAAGGGCCCCAGCCCAGGTGTGAGCTGGAACAAGACCAGCCCTTAGCTGCAGATGAGCCTGGCCAGCATGTCCTCTGGGGCTCCAGGAGGATGCTGGGCAGTGGCTGGCAAAGCCGGTCCAGAGGGCCACCTCCTGTGCTCCCTTCCTCCAGCTCACATGGAAAGCTTTCCTGGGATATGAGTGATGTTGCCTATATTCGAAGAAGAAATCGATTAAATAAATTCCTGCGAAGGTCTGAGTGAATGGTCATTCCACAGCCCTCTTAAATATATTCACGGCTTTAAAAAAGGACGCCAATTAGCCTCCGTAAATCTGTGAGCTAGAGCTCTGGGATGATGGAGGGGGTGGCGGATCTCAGGCTATGGGCAGGATTTATGGGCTCAGGCCCTGGAGCACTTGGCCTGCCCGGCCTGCCTGGGTGCCCACACCCAGCCCTCCTCTTGGAGCCTCCCTGCCCGTCCCCTGCTGGCTGCACAGGTGGGGAGAGGCAGCACCTGGCCACCTGGGTTGGGCACAGCAAGGAGGTGTTCATCTCGTGCTCTGGTCTTTTCCAGCCAAGAAGTACAAGAAAGTAACCGGCAAAGAGATCTACTCAGACACCCTGGAGAGCACGCCCATGCTGGAGAAGGAGAAGTTCCCACAGGACTACTTCCCCGAGGTCAGTGTCCAGGCTGCCCCAGCACCTCTGAGGTCATGTGATTCTCTGCCTTTTTGGAAGGCTCTAAGCTCATGAGGGCTGATCTGGGATGGCACAGAGCAGGGCAGAGAGAACCCAGGTGTTCAGCCCTGGGTCAGTCCACCCCTTCTGTCACGGTCGGTGATGTGGGCCTGGCGGGCAGAGCCAGGGCAGTGGCTGCCTCTGTCACTGCCTGAGGTGGCCCACAGACCTGCCACATGGTGCTGGAGCATGAGTGCCAAGCTGTGGGCAGGGAGCCACTGTGCAGCCCAGGCTGGGCGCTCAGACCCACACCCAGGAGTCACTTCTGCTTTTTACGGAGCATTTTGAGAGGAAGCAGGGAGTTATTTACTGTCTCACTGTGCAGAGGAAAGTCACCCTAAACGCTGGGGCTCTTCCTTTGGGTTTCAGTGCATTTAGTTTAGTTTGTGTGTGCAGCGTCCACTGGACAGGCTGTCTTGGGTGGCATTCTCTGTTAGCAAGCCATATAGCCAGCATTTCCCGAGTCTCCCAAGCCTGTATAATTACCATGGCGACCTAGAGTTTGTTGCCTTGGCTTTTTGTCATCTGCTAGATTGTAGTAGGGTTTGGACATCCTGACCAGAAGCATTGTGAGTGCTAAAACTGAAGGACTGGTGGCAGTTCCCAGGCTGGATGCAGAAAGTGCATGGACTCATCTGCTCAGCCCCAGGAAGGATTGCTCTCCATTACGTCTCATGATGGGCTGGCCATAGGGAGGGCAGCCACGCCTGCGCAGAGCTGCCTCCAGCAAGGCCACAACTGTATTAACATGCTTTATGGTGTGAGCCTTGAGTGGAGGGCTCGTGGCCACCACCATGAAGGATGGATGCCCTTGTCATCTTGGGGCGCAGCTTCCTCATCCATCGTGCTTGGGCTAAAGACACAGTCCTACTCCTGGACCCATCGCCTTGCCTGCCCTGCCCCAGAGCATCCCACTGTCAGGGGAGGACACACGGGAAAGCTCCGGGACCTTCTCTGTGCAGAGTGGAGTCCTTTTGTTATGACAGTGTCCCTGAGCTTTGTCACCGAGATAGCGTGTACAGGCTAGTGGGGGCTGTGATTCCCTTGGAGAAGCTGTGACCCAAACTCTAGGCTTCCCTTCAAATTGCATCTCAGAGTGACCAGAGAGGCTCAGGGCCCAGTGGTAAGGCTGGGCTGGGAGCCACAGCCTACCAAAGGCCTAGAGTCACCTCTGCTCAGACACCGGCAGCTTGATAGGGCCCCAGGGCAGCCAGGAGGGTCCTGAGCTAGTCAAGGGAGCGGTCTGTAGCCTGGCATCTTGCCACAGTTTGCTCAGCCTGCTGCCCTGAGCCGTCTCGCCATACCAAGGCTGCATGGCCTCTGGGGACTCTGGGGCACTGGCCATGGAGCCAGGCTGATGACCTGCCCCTGGCAGGCAGGGTCTTCACTCAGCATCCCTGGCCTCCAGCCTCTGTTTGGCAGCAGCACTAATGGACCTACAGAGACCGGCTGGAAACCAGACACTCTAAAGTCGCCCCTCACCCTGGCGTCCATCCATTTGCTTTGTCTTGTCTGTCCCGGATGGGCAGGGAGAGGCCAAAGAGACACTGAACCCCTGGAGGTGAGCCTGTATGTCCTGAGTAAGAGACAAGAGACAACAAGGGCCAGCCAGGGAGGGAAGCCAGGAAGAGTGGAAGCCCATGGCAAGGAACAGGACACAACAGGCAGCTTGGGCCATGGATTCGAGGAGGTGCAGGAGCAGGGGAGCTAGGGCAGGGTTGGGGGTGTGTGAAGGGAGCTGGGAAAGGGGTGGGAGGTGTTGGGGGGAGCAGGGGCAGGGGTGTGGGGGTGGAGGAGCTGGGACAGGGGTATGGGGAGCTGGGGCAGAGTTGAGGGGAGCTGGAGTGGGAGGGGACCAGGGTTGGGTGCTAATGCTACCAGGAAGCTACTGCCAGGGTCAGTGCTGGGACCAAGACAGGGCTGAGGCTGGATGGAAGAGTACCCCTATCTGCAGGGGCCGCTCCAGACATGGGCCCGAGGCTGGGGCCTGTGTTTCCCAGGGCAGCTGGGGCCCCGCAGGTTACTTACCTGCCATGAGTCCATGAGCCTTCAGGTGTTGACAGTGGTGAGGGGAGGGCACCACAGGCTCCCAGGGACATGTAGTTGAGTGTGGCAATGAGCACTCTGGGCCCTGCCCTGCCCAGTCCCTGGTGGGGCTGGCAAGGCCTACTCCCAAAGAATGTCCTCAGCACCAAGCCTCGTGTGCGCACACGCCTCGGCAGGCATGAGTAGCCTATACTTACATGCCCTCTGCCTTGAGTTCCAGGTGCCACCATGTGCCCTGCGCTTCCCAGCCACTGTCCATGGGGCACCTCAGTGTCCATGTCAAGTAGCTCCAGCATGCAGCCTCCACCCCCAGGACCCACACGGACCTCCTGGCACCCTGGGTCCCCACCTTTCTGGTTAGTGGCTGGAACCTGAGATGTGCACCCCTCCCTGAATCTCGGTCTTCAGAGCTGGGTGCCAGGGCTCACTGTGTGTCCCTGGCCTCTGCAGCAGTCTATGGGCAGGGCTCAGAGCAGAGTCACTCTGTCCTTCTGCGGGAGACTCCCTGTGGGACCACCCAGGGCAGGGCCTGACTTCCATGAGGCTGTTTGGGGCCTCCTCTAAGCTCTCTTGCTTGCCCACCACCTGATGAGGCTGGGGGCTTCTGCTATGGGTTGGCTATGTCCAACAGGGGTTTGGCCTTGGTCCTGAAGACATGTTATGTCCCCTGCCCTGTGGGGGCAGGGTGTTGAGGGGTTAGCGCCTTCCCACCGGAAAAGTGGCCCCAGCCTGGGTTCAGGCCCATCATGTCCTCAGGAGATGCAGCTGCAGGTGATGATACTGTTACACTCATAATCAGCAGAGAAAATGCACTTCTACGCCATAGACTCATAGGGGAGCAAGGGCTGTCTGTGGGTGTCTCTGGGTGGACACCCTTGTAGTCAGTTGGCCAACAGATCTTTGTGGCTGCTGGTGGCTGGAACAGAGGGACCAGCCGTACCTGAGGCCTGGGCCTTTCTGCAGGTCAGCATGAGCGTTGCCACCCACTGTGCTAGAGACCCCTGGGACCCGTGTGCTTGACCTGACATGCACCAGTCCAGGCATCTTACTCTAAAACCACAAACTTGTAATATTCTGTCAGTAGTGTGGTATTCCCAAATACGCAAGACTTCAACCAACATTCAGTTCCACGTGTCACCCGAGGGACCCCAGAGCCTGTCAAGATGCCCGACTATGCCATGGCAGTAGTCCCTGCCCAGCATGGCCCCTCCTCTGGGTTTCCACACCAAACCTTTCTCTGTGTGTCTGCATGTTTTGCGGGAGGAAACTAGTATAAGACTGATTTCTCCTTCTTTTATTACCATCACTTAAGGATAATCTAAGTGTAATTACGGTGATGGAGGCATAATGCAATTCCAAATAATTACAGCCCACTGCATAGAAAACTAACAAAACTTTCTCTGTTGATTTATGGGTGCTTGTGGCTCAGTGTGAATTCCAGATGACGCCTCTGGGAGCAACACTGCAGATAATGTGAGGCCATTTTTAAAAAGCAGATTTGTGTAGTCGATCAAGGCAAGTCATTTTTTTCCTGTTGCCCATGGTGAGAAATTGGTTGTTACCATAGATCACAGGCCTGCTGCAAGCTTCTATGAAAGATGAATTAATTCCACTAATGCTCGGAGCGGGCCTTCCGCGGCGCTGTGGCGATAACCTCCCCCAGCCTCCCTTTTCTCCGTGGCGATTTATGCCGTCTCTTAGTAGATGAAGCCGCCTGACTCGCTATCCATCTGTGGCTGCAGGCACCCTATTATCAGGCCTGGGCAGAGGCCCTTATGTGAGTGAAGGACGCGCCCCACCAGGTGACGTGGCTCCCGCTTCTGTGGTAAAAACCTCTCTGAAGCAGCATGCCTGGGGACACCCCCCACCCCACTTGTAGACCCACCGCCATCTCACTGGTGGGTCCTCAGCAAGAGCCTAGAGGTGGTCGGTGCCCCTAGAGTCTCAGAGCCCAGACTGCAGTGATGAGCTCCTCCCAGAAGGCTCCAGCCACAGGGGAGTGACAGAGGTGGGAACCAAGGTGGCTGCTGGCAGAGGGCATTGGCCCAGGCTGGCCGGGAGCAGAGCACACACGTCTGGAGCTTGGGGCTCCCTGTGCTCCCACCTGGTCTCTGCCCTGCAGATGTGTTCCCCCCAGGGTGGTCCTGACTGTGCTCCAGAGGCTGCTTTCCCCAGGCCCCTCCCTGGTTCAGGTCACTTTGTAATCTGACAAGAAAACAGATTCAGGCTCCTAGGGCCATGACCAACCCACCTCATGTGGGCTGTTTGCCACTGGCACCCATGGCACACTTGACATGGACTCGGGCCCCTTGCAGCTCATCCTGCTAGCAGCAGCTCTCCTGCCTCACAGGTCAGAGGCTGTGCATCAAGGTAGTTTCTTGGGACCCACCCACAGCCGTCTTCCCATAAGACAGCCGTCTTAGTCTGTCCCATGTTCCCATCGAGTGGCACCTTTGTAGGCATTCTCCCTATTGGGTAACTTACAAAAAGACACAGGGGAGCATGGTCCCCACATCTGCTTTTGAGGAGGCCCAGGGAGTCTCTGCTCTATTGGGAGGTGAAGAAGGAGCAGGCATCACCTGGGAGTAAGGGGGAGCAGCCCCTCCCCAGGCCCCAGCCTTAGCACTAGGGGTCAGACTTTGACATGAGACTTGGGGGACCCACATCCACACAGTTGTGGGCTTCTTCACATCCTTCACATGAAGTGGTCACCGGCTTCTTGTCCCCAGAGCACACCAGGGCATCCCAGTCATCCTGGGGACATTCTCACTGGCCCTCTTGGTAGGGCCAAGGATGTGCCTCAGCCACATCCACCTGTTCCCCCAGAGTGAGTGCCCAGCCTTACTGGTCTAGTTCAAAGCCCGCAGGGAGAGGTTGGCTGCCCAGAAGGCATCTGGGAGGCAGAAGGGCTGTGGGGGGGCTGCAGGTGACAAGGTCCATTGGCTTTGTAGATGGAGGACATGGGAGCCTTGCAGGGAGCCTTTGGGGCAGAGTAGGAATTGGGAAACAAGTGAGGGGCCGTGTGGATAGCTCTTGTCCAGTGTGGTGGTTACAGGAGTGCAGGAAGAGCTGCATTTTGAATCCCTGAATTATTTGCATAAAAAAAAGAAATGAGATGCCAGCCACTGAATTCCCTGGACGCTCCTTTCCTACAGGGAGCAAATCTCACTGTATTTAACACTGGATCAGGATACTCCCCACGTCCTCTTTTCCTCTGTTGTCCTCTTTGGGAGTGGCCGGCCCTGCCTTGGGTGGCCATTTCCTCCAGTGTCCTAAAGGCTGTGACCACGTGGTGTTTGTGGCCAAAGGGCAGGCCTCCTCCCAGCACCTCCCCAAGGGATTTCAGGGTGCTAGGAAGGAGTCCCACTCACGGGGCTGCCTAGGCTGTGTAGCTGCCCTATCCTGTGCAACTCTAAATTAAAATTAATTAAGGTAAGGCAAAGTGTAAAATTCAGCTGTTCAGTCATAGGCTACGGGTGCTCCATGACTGGGGTGGCCAGGGCAGTCCACTGGGACTGCTACAGCTAAATACTTCAGGCCAGGTGGTTTACACACAGTAAGACCTGATGCCTCATGCTGGATGATTTACATACGGTAGGACCTGACACCTCAGGTTAGGTGGTTTACACACAGTAGGACCTGAAATCTCAGGCTGGGTGGCTTACACACAGTAGGACCTGACACCTCAGGTTGGGTGGTTTACACACAGTAGGACTTAAAATCTCAGGCTGTGTGGTATATACATAGTAGGACCTGACACCTCAGGTTGGGTGGTTTACACACAGTAGGGCCTGATGCCTCATGCTGGGTGGTTTCCACACAGTAGGACCTGACACCTCATGGGTGGTTTCCACACAGTAGAACCTGAAGTCTCATGCTGGGTGGTTTACGCACATAGGACCTGACGCCTCATGGGTGGTTTACACACAGTAGAACCTGAAGTCTCAGGCTGGGTGGTTTAGACACAGTAGGACCTGACTGCTCCTGGCTCTAGGGTCTGGGAAGTTCATGTCCCAGTGTGGCAGCTGTGGTGTGTGCAGAGAACCCTCTCTCTGCATGTTCCAGTGATGCCCATTTCAGGGGAGAATGGTGCATCCTCAAGGTGGAGGTCCGTAGGACAAGAGGGCCAAGTTCTTGGTGAATCTCCTCATGCGAGGCCTTAGCACAGGGGTCCTCAAACTTTTTAAACAGGGGGCGAGTTTATTGTCCCTCAGACCATTGGAGGGCTGGACTGCGGGCCACAGGACAAGTTGGCTGCTGAGCAAGACAGGCAGTGGTGGCAAAAACACCCAGCGGGCCAGATAAATGTCCTAGGCGGGCTGCATGTGGCCCATGGGCCGTAGTTTGAGGACGCCTGCCTTAATACCACTCATGGTGGGGGACCCTCGTAAAGGCATCCTCTCTTAGTTCACCATGGTCAGCTGCTGCCCAAGCCAGTGCTGGCTGTGTGGGCTTGCAGGGCAGGACCGAGGTTAGAGGCTCCATGAGGCCTTCCCTACACCCACACACCTGCCAGCTGCCCAGCTGGCTCAGCCACAGGCACTTGCTGCATCTGAGTGCTGGTGGACACAGGCAGCTATCTGCAGCTCCCATCTAGTCTGGGGATAGGGCCCTGTAGAGAGTGGGCTGTTTTTTTTTTTTGTTTTTTTTTTTGAAGCAATACCAGCACATGTAAGTGTGATGTCTGTCATGAGTGCACATTTTTGTTCTTTCTGGCAGAGTACCTTAAATACTAAAAGACTAGAACTTTTTTTCTGTTTGAAAAAGCATCTTATTTGCTCCCTAGAGTGTGGGGGAGCCATGCTCCTCTTCCCTCCCTGCCTGCTGGCTTATCTGTGTAACTGTTTATTTTTCAGTGCAAATGGTCAAGAAAAGGCTTCATCCGGACAAGATGGTGCATTGCTGACTGGTAGGTTGTCTTGTGTCCCTCTCTGCTCCATAAACTTTCACAGTGTTCTCTGTCTGTGTATTTCACACAAGTGGCATGTTGCAGGCATCTCACCAAAGGCCTTGATGATTGCAAGGAGACCTCGGCTGCCTCACTGCAACTGTTATTTTTTCAGAGATGGGGGCAGTGGGCACCATTGTCCAGGCATCCAGCACAGATGCAGAAAGGAGGGTCCTGTCCTGCTTCAAGTCTGAGAGTCACATTTGCCAGAGCCCCTGCAGGAGAAAGCTGGCAGGGTGGGTGCCAGCAGCCCCGTGGCTGCACATGGGTTGTGTGGTAGTGGTCTGGTGGCCTGTTTGTCACCACCCAAGCACGGATAGAGAGCGGCCCGTGTCTCCCTGGCTGTCACTCTAGGCTGCCTCAGGCTACACCTTCCTGCCATGTGCTCCTGCTTGGAGGTAGCCAGAAACACGTGACCTGCTCATCATGTGGTTTCCAGGGGTCCTGGCCTGCCCCTCAAGTGTTCAAATCACACTTAAGGACTTTTTTATTTTTCTACTGCTTTGCCATGTGAGTATCTGTTGCCATGAGACAGGTCACTACTCTTCAGAAACTGACTTCCAGGTCATGATGTCTGAGCCTCATGATGGAGGTGACTTAGCAGGGTTCTGGCCTCCCTACATCTGGAAAACCCACTCCCAAGTTCACTGTCAGGGCTGTGGAGGATGCCTCGGCCCCTCAGGCCTGGGTGTCCCAGGGAACGTAGGGGACAGGGTGCCCCAGACAGAGCCTCCATCCTTGACCCACCACCTATTGCCCTTGGCCCTTGGTCTTAGCAAACAACCCTGGCTCTGTGTGGAGCCATATGGCATGGATGGACCAGGTGGGGTCAACAGGTCACCATGGAAGCTAGAGGATGGAAGGCCGACCTGCACCCTTTGCAATTCCTGCAGAGCATAAAGGGGCCCAGGAGAACAATAGTCTCCCTGTGGGAGATGCCGGGGAGGGGGCTTTGTGGACAGTGTTGGGAGAGCATTGAGCACTGCGCTGACCTCCCTTAGTGAGGTAGTCATGTCCCTGCCAGCCAGACATGCCAAGGGCCCTTCTGGGCAAGGCTAGAGTGGTGCCCAGAGGCTGGGGAGGCTGGGAGTCTTCCTGGGCTGTGGGCAGGAAGTGCAGTGAGCAGCTGCATCCTCGCTCAGCTACAGTGACAACTTGGCAAAGGTTGCGGGCCCTCTGACCATGTGGGAGGACAGGTGGGTAGACAGTGACTGGGGCTCAGGCGGCCCCACATGGAAGAGGCTGGGGCCGGTCACGTTCTCCTGGGAATCCTTGTACCCTGAGGACCCTGGTGATAGTTTTCTTTTCTCTTTGGTGCAGTGCCTTCGACTTGGTGAACATCCATCTCTTCCATGATGCTTCCAACTTGGTGGCCTGGGAAACCAGCCCTTCGGTGTACTCGGGCATCCGGCACAAGGCGCTGGGCTACGTACTGGACAGGTAGGTGCCCCGCCAGCTGCACCCAGATAGGGATGTGGCTCAGGCTGCCAGGCCACCTTCCCAGCCTGTGGTGCCAGCTGCAGGCAGTGCCTACACCTGCGGCTCCCTGAGGCTTGGATCCCCAGCCCTAACACAGGCTAAGCAGGACCCTCATCAGACAGACTCAGATGAGGATGGCCTCACTTTTCCTCTGATGTTTTGTGAGAAAGATAAGAAAATCGTGCTCTGGGGAGCTGGGACTGGATGTGAATTTCAACGCAGGGTGTCTTGGAACCTAACGGCTCCCTTCTGCTGTGGGCTCAGGTGTGAGTGAGTTGGGGGCACTGAAGGCCATGCTGGTACTTTCCCATGGCGCAGGCCCTGCCAGCCTCCCCCAGAGCTGCTGGACTCAGCACTCAGCACCTAGCACAGCTCCTGGCTATGTAGGGTTAGCCCACAAGGCTCCCGCTGCCCAGCCTGGCACAGCACCATCCCCTCCCAGCTCTGTCCCCTTTTGACATTAGGCCAGGTCTTGCTTCCTGAGCCTGGGGCTGTGGGCAACCACAGTGACCACCAGCACTCAGCCTGTGCCACCTGTTGCCCAGACTCCCCGCTGCCCTGCTCCTCTCAGGTACTTCAGGCTACTCTGTGCATCTGTCCATGATGTGTGTGATGTGCCCTGTGACCTCTGCTGGGGAGAGGTCAGATGCAGAAAAGTGGCCCCACACCAAAGGCCGCTGATGAGCTGCCCTCTGGAAAGGAGAAGTGGTAAGAGGCTGGGCTCATCCCCTGCCTGTCCCACTGGTGTCCCCACACTGGGACGAGGGTGCATAGACAACTGGGGCTACAGTACCCATCTGTCACAGGCCTGGTTCTGCCCCAGGGTGGGCTTTGATTTCACCCCAAGCCTTGCTGCCATGTGTGAGGACCTTGTGCAGCTCCTCAGCCTCCTCGCCAAACCTGGTCTCTCCCCCGCAGGCCCCTGTCCTCGGCTTGGGTTGGGCAGGCACCTAGCTACTCTGAATGGACCAGGAGAATGGTCCACGTGGAGGAGAGCTGTCACCAGAGCCCTAAGCTGGGCAAGACACATATGTCCCTCACCACCACGTTCTCAGGGGCTTCCTATGCAAAGTGACCACTGAGGACTGAGGGACACGGCTCTGCTCCAGAAGACTTGGGGCCTAAGGGAATGTTCTGAGGGGTCCCCAGGTCAGGTGGGGTCACAGAGGAGAGCAGGGTCCAGTATGACCATGTGGATATAGGCTATATCCTCTCAGCAGCTTCTAAGAGCAGCTCATGTGCAAGCAAGCTGTGCACGTGTGTGTGTGCACACATGTTTGGGCTTGGCCCTTTTTGTCTCCCAAGCACCTCTCTGTCCAGGTCTATAGTAAGTGTGGCCTGGCTATGGCCATGGCCTATGTGGACTCCCTGTCTCCTTCCCTGATGTCCCCCACCTGGCTCTTCTTGGGGGCATCCTATTCCTGCACTGCCGTAGCCAGGTCTGTGGCTAGCGGTTCACCTCAGGGCCCAAGCTGGAGCGCCAGGAAGAACAGCTGAGACTGAGGCCCCTGAGGCCTGGGCCCTGTCTCCGTCCAGTGGCTCTTACCCTTGACTTCAGTCTGAGGGAGCTCCTCATATTAGCCATCCCTGCCAGGCCCTTGCAGAGGACACAGGAATGTGGGACACGGGTCTGACATGCACTGAGGGCCTAGCCCTCACTACACATGAGACCCTGCCCTCCTCAGGGCTCCCCATGGTGGGGCCACAGTATAGGCAGAGCCTGGGGCTGTCACCACAGTACCTGACAACCACCTGTGACCATGAGACCAGGACCCGGGTGCCCTGCTGTGACAGGGGCTCAGCTGGCCAGGTTGGCCTAAAGGGAGTAGCTCCTCCTGCTTCGTAGGTCCTGGGCATCAAGGCAAGGAGTTCCTCGGGGTCCAAGGGCCTGAAGTGGGTCCATGTACTGTCCTATCTTGGGGACCACAGTTAGGTCATCAGTATCGTAAAGGATTGAAAATGTATCGTTGCCCCAAACTGGACACCTCCGGCCTCCACAAGAGCGGCTTTGGTGTGGGGCCGCTTCTCTGCATCTTTGCGTTCCCATGAATGGCTTCCGTGGCGAGCTCAGCCAGCCGCAGATCCGGACCTCCGGCGCGCGGGGCTGGCCCGCCCGCACAAAGGGGAGCTCTGTCGGCGGTGAATAATGGCCCGCCCTTTCACTGGGGATGCTAACCTTTTGGCAGCCACCAGCAGACTGCATTCTGCTGCGCTGATTGGGGAGGACAATGCCATGCTGGCCCTTTGAATGGACACTGCCACCAACGGTGCTGCATTCACAGCGTGGGGACCTGCCGGGAGCAGCGTCTGGGGCACGGGGAGACAGCAAGAAGGCCCTGTGGGGGCCACTGCCTCCTGGGCCCGCCTGTTCTCATGTGAAGCTCTGAGCAGTGCTGTGGCCTCAGGCTGGGAAGGAGGGCAGGTCCCCAGGAGGGAAGGCCCGGCTGAAGCCCAGGGTCACCAGAAGTGTAGGCAATTCTTCCTTAAATCCACAGGAACTCCAAAATAAGATGATTACTAAATAAGAACTAAGAGGCATACTCTTTGAGTTTAACTCTTCAGAAGCTTCTGAGTACCCACCAACCCTAGTGGGAGCCAGAGAGAGGGCTTCTCACTACAAATAATCTTGATGTTCTTTGTGAAATTTACATATTTTATGCTAGGAATCTCTTCTTACAAAAGTTTAAAAAGTAGAAAAATCCCTCATTCATGCAGAGTCTTAGGCCCAGAGAAGTCTCAGAAGTCTTGGAGCCAGGCAGGTTTTAGAGGGTAGAGGGTCTGGGCAAGGTATCAGAACACACCTTCACCCTGGGCCTCTGTGTGGCCCTGGGGATATTTAGCCCTTGGCACACATCAGGGCAGGTTAGGTCTCTCTCCCAGACACACAGTCAGTGTTTTGGGCATCCGGAGGGATTAAGTGGGGTCTGCATGGCCTTCCTAGGCACCAGCCCCTGAAATGTCCTGAAATCTTCCTGCACTTTCAGCCCGTGCAATGAGATTTTTTTTTCCCTAAGTGACAGGGCTCTTGTGTTTCCCTTTGAAATGTGGCCTGGCCTAGTTCAACAGAAACATTTTTACAACTGTGAAATCTTGGCATAAAGCGCCCCTTTGTCCCCCATTATTTTCTCACAAATACAGTCCATTGTCACAGCACTGAAGTTAATTTGATCAACATTGGGACATTTAACTTTTATGTCCAGTCAAAAGAGTTGTTTCATGCTCATTTTGGGCATTCAAAGGAAATGATTGCCAGAAAAATAATGTTCCTCTGAACAATTCAGGGCAATTAGTTTCCCAGGGTGAGGCGATGTGATGCCGACGCCCCCAGCCCTGCTTTGTGGCTTTATGGATGGTCATCAGTCAGCTGTCAGGCTGCTCAAAGACCCTCCAATCTAAATGTTTCTCTTTAGACCGTTCCCAGAACTTGCCCCGCTGTTTAGCCAGCAAAAGAAAAGCCTGTGCATCTCCAGGCAAAAGCAAACTTGTGCTAAAGATCTAGGTCATTCCGGAGCCCTTCTGGCCCCAGAGCTTGTCCAGCACTGTATTTATGCCCGAGCGTGCTCAGAGAACACGGTGCAGGTGTCCGTGCCAGTCTGTGCACACCACTTAGGCATCCTTCCTGCCTAAGCATCTCTCGTGGTATGGCCATGTGTGTGGCTGGCACCTGTGGAGCCCCACACCTGATTTTGGGGGGGGTGCAGGCTGGTACCCCACTGCCACTTCCGCTGCTCCAGAGCTGAAGCCTCCAGGCCTATGCCTCCCTCCCTCCAGATGAGGGCATGTCACACCCAGCTGCTGTCCAGCAGAATGAGTTCCTTGTGCCTTGTGCCTCAGATGGTTGATGGGACTTGTAATATTTCCTCTATTTTGCTGAGGACCGATTCAAGCACCCAGAGCAGCATAGAAGATGGGATGAGGGCACCGCCTCCACTCAGCTGACCCTTTTATATTCTGCCCTGCTGGTCCCTCTGGTACAAAATGAAACCTGTGGGCACACGGGTGTCCACGTCCTCCTGAACCCTTCCCACCTCCAGCACTTCCGTGCCTGCTTGTTACAAGGCATGTTCGTGTCACACTGCCATTGCATGTTGTTATGTGTATATGTGTGACTTACGTTCTTGCGTTCGTGAGCGTCCGTAAGTCGCATGTTTTAGTTCTGTGTGGGCAGCACCCAGCTGCATGTCTCCGTCTCTGCTGTGTTTCTGCCCTGTGCTGCTGGCGTAATTCTCTGGCTCCCCTTTCCCCCATGCTCCTCTGGGCTCTCGCTGCCTTGAGAAGTGGGGGGTGGTCCTCAGCCTTTCTCTGACAGGCAGGAGGTTGTCTCTGCTGGACCGTGAAGGCACCCCCAGCCCTAAGCTTCACCCATGCCCATCCACACCAAGCCAGTCTGGGGGATATGGGCAATTTGTTTCCCTAAAGCCTGTGAGGGTGGCATCCACTCCTGTGTCCGCTGGGTTGAGGCTACTCAGCTCCCTGAGCATTCTGCCAGTGTTTTCTCTGCAGATGCCTGAGGAATGAAGCAGTCACCAGAGGTCAGGGTGTCTCCGTGCGGTACTATGGCTCTGTGGTTTATGGTGGTATCTGGTGGGGTTTGAGGGGAGGTTCTCAGTGTTTAGGAAAAGTGTAAAAATTGTCATGTTTAGAAAGCACGCAATGGGAGCTCCCAGAGGAGGCTCGGGGTGCCCTCCAGTAGGGTGTCCACAGGTGGGCTGGCCACAGTTGCTCTTTGGACCAGCATTTCCAAGCAAGTGGTGAGTGTACCAAAGGGACTTTACAGAGTCGGTAGGTGTTGGGAAAAATGGGCTGCTGGCCAGCCGCTGAGGCCAGGTCAGGCAGGGAGGAGTGTGAGGCTGTCTCGGTCAGCTCGGCTGCCCTGACAGAACTTGTGGCTGGTGGCAGGTGCTTGAAGATGTGAGTCTGAGGTCAGAGTACCAGCCTGGCAGTGCACTCCTTCCTGGCCT